GGCTAAACAAGTTGTGGTATATGATTGTGATGGAAAACTCTTAAAAATGCTAAAAGTGTTGTAAAAATGGTGAGCTTGTTGATTTTAGAAAAAACATGAATAACTTGCATGAAATAATGAAGAGTGAAATAAGCAGAACCAAGCAAATGTTGTATACAGTAACAACATTGTTTTAAGAACAACTTTGATTGAATAAATCATTTTGATTATTATAAATACTAAAATTAACTACAAAGAACCTATGAAGAAAGATGCTATCTGTATCCAGAGAAAGAACTGATAAATAGAGATATGTATAGATTAGTTTTACATATGTATACATATTTGTGCCTAATGGTAGCCTTTTTGGGGTGGAGTGAGGGAAGAAAAAAGAGGAAAAAAAAGAAAGTTATGTAAGAACTTTATTATATATTTAAAAGGAATAGCAAATTGTATGTAATAGATTTGCAGTTTCATGTACAATCATCTTTTTTTTTCTATTCTACTACATTATAGAAATGTTTGTTCTATTGCTTTTTTTTCCTTCCTTTTCCTTCTCTACCCCCTTCCCAAGAACAGCATGTAATTTGATATAGGCTCTACATATGCATTCATATTAAACATATAGTCACATCAGTCATGTTGTAAAGAAGAATTAGAACCAATTTGTTTTATTTCTTAAGTTCAAAATAAAATTAATTAATTAAAAAAAAAAGAAATGGGGGTAGAAATATAAAGTACTCACTTGCATAATATTGCACAGTGAGTAGGTACCAGACAGCAAGAGAGTTTAAATTATTTAACCATATTACTTAGCCTTTCCAGTGAAGTTTGTTTGAAAGACAAAAAACATTTTCCTCAGGACGTTGCATCATAATTTGCTTATAAATAACATAATGATAACTCATATCTCCATACTATAATAACATTCTGGATAAGGAGAACCTTCTTGACTACAAGGGACATCATGTCCCAGTCTCCTCACCTGGCCTCTTCATGACTACAGGGAATAGGAAGAGGCAGAGGTCTCTTGGCCTGGCCTGGCCTGGCCTGGCCTACTTGCAGGAGAGGGGAAAGAGCCTTCCATCAGCTCCCCATATTGTTCGTCTCACCTAACACCCTGAGAGGACGCCTTCTTGAGGCCAAACCCCTGGGGATAATGATACCCGAACTCATTCCTCAATAATGAACAAATTCCCACCCTATAATATCCTCCCCATTTCAGTGTTTTGGAAATCCCTGCTGTCATTATTCAAATCCTATTTTCCATTCCCCACTCCCTACTCTTTCATTCCTACCCTTCTCAACCCAAATTTCAATATCTTACTCTGACACTACTCAGTCTGTAGGTAACAGACCTGCTCTTATCTTAAATCTTTTCCTCTCTCACTTTTTCCATCTCTGATGGCTCTCATTGAATCCTGGCTCCCTCCTGGTAACATGGCCTCCATGGCCAACCTTTCTAGCTTTTGGTTGTACTCTCACTCATTTCCACAACTCACTGGTCAAAGTGGGGGAGTTACAATACTCCTTGCTCCTGATGATCACTTCCAGTCTTTTACTCTTCCACCATCATTCAGTAACCTCTCTTCCTTTTAGGTTTAATTACTCTGTGTTTACTACCCAACCATAATTCTGGTAATTTGTGTATGGACCTCTATGACTTCCTTCCTTCCCCAATGAATTCAGTGCCCATAGTTCAGTCTTCTCTCTACAGCAACCCCTGCTCTCATACAAGGACATTTCGATGTACATATTGATACTCCTTAACACCCTAATCTCCTGGTTTCTCAATTCACTCATTTCCCATAACCTACTACTCTTCCGCCTAGGTGGACTGAGTCTCCTACAAATTTATATTATATTAACTGGGCCCTCTCTGCTGCAAGGCAATCTTTTTGTTACACCTTCCTAATTAACTCACTATCCCACTCACTGTGGTGTCTTTTCCCAACCTTTTCATCCCTTCCCAAATCTCTTATGGCTCTTCTTCTCTCCAGTCTTTCAACTGAGAACCTTGCCTCATATTTCTTTTTTATTATTTATTTAGTATTTTATTTTCCCCCAATTACATGTAAAAATAATTTTTAGCATTCATTTTTAAAATTTTGAGTTCCAAATTCTCTCCCTTCCTCCCTCCCCACCCCCCTCGTTGAGAAGGCAAGCAATTTGATATAGGTTATTTATTTGTAGTCATGCAAAACATATTTCCATATTAGCCATATTAAAAGAACACATAGACCAAAAAAACCCCCTCAAGAAAAATAAAATTTAAAAAGTATTGCTTCAATTTGTATTCAGACACCATCAGTTCTTTCTCTGGGGGATGGATAGCATTTTTCATCTTAAGTCCTTCAGAGTTGTCTCGGATCATTGTATTTCTGGGAATAGCTAAGTCATTCACAGCTGATCATCTTACAATATTGCTGTTACTGTGCATAATGTTCTCCTGGTTCTACTCATTTGACTTTGTATCAGTTTATGTAAGCCTTTCCAGGATTTTCTGAAAGTATTTTGCTCATCATTTCTTATACCACAATAGTATTCCATTATAACAACATACCACAATTTGTTCAGCCATTCCCCAATTGATGGGCATCCCTTCAATTTCCCATTATTTTTCACCACAAACAGAGCTGCTATAAATATTTTTGTGTACATAGATCCTTTTCCTTTTTTTTTTTTTTTATCTCTTTTGGGATACAAACCTAGTAGTTTCCCTCATATTTCATTGAGAAAATTGAGGCCATTCACCATGAACTCCATGTTGTCCCCTCCTCTTCATCTCATATTACTCATATGCCTTCTGCAGCTATCTCCTTCTTCACCTTCTTGCATGAAGAGGTGGCCCTTTTCCTTGCCAAGGCTCATCTCTCCACCTGTGTAATTGATCCCATTTTATCCCATTGTCTCTAATAGATTGCTCCCGCATTTTCTCACTTATTTTTACCCTCTCTTTATTGATCGACTGCTTCCTTACTGCCTACAAACATATCCATGTTTCCCTCATTCTCAAAACACCCTCACTTTATCCATCCATCCTCACTAGCTACTATCCTATATCTCTTCTTTTCTGGCTAAACTCTTCTACAATAGGTGCCTCCACTTATTTTCTCTCATTTTCTTCTTAATTTTCTACAGCCAGACTTCTGACTTCATCATTCAACTGAAACTGCTCTCTCCAAAGTTATCAATGATCTCTTAATTGCCATATTTAATGGCTTTTTTCCAGTTCTCATTCTTTTTGGCCTCTCTACAGCCTTTGACAGTTAAACTTCTCCTTGATGATTTTTTTTCTCTCTAGGTTTCCATTACTCTTTTATATCCTGATTCTTTTCCTACCAATCTCACTGCTCCTACTCGGTTTCCATTGCTAGAACTTCATTCCGGTCTCCTCTTCCAATACTAAGTGTCCTCCAAGGCCAATCCATCCCTCTTCTCTTCTCCCTTTATACTATTTCCTTTGGTGATTTCATCAACTCCTAAGGATTCAATTATCATCACTCTGCTAATGATTTTCAGACCTACTTATTCAGCCCTAATCTCTCTGCTAATCTCCACTCACGTCTCAAACAGCCTGTTAGACATTTAAAACTGGATGTCCCATAGCCAATTTAAACTCAAAAAGTTCAAAACAGAACTCATTATCTTTCTCCCCAAACTCTCTCAACTTCCTTATTACTGGTGAGGGTACCACCATTCTCCCGGTCCCCCAGATTGTAACCTTAAGTGTCATCTTTAATGCTTCACTCTCTCTTATCTCCCCTATCCAATTTGTCATCATGATCTATGGTTTCTATCTTCTAAAGAGAAGCTCTTCTATATGTTCTCTTCTTTCCTCTGATACTACCACCAGCTGGGAGCAGGTCCTTATCACTTCCCACCTGGACAATAGCAATAGCCACAAGTCTCAGTTGTCATATTGATCTTCCTAAAGTACAGATCTATCTATGTCCCCTGGAATCAATAAAATCCCTATCACTCTCAAGATCAAATCTATAATTGTTTGGCTTTTAAAGACTTTAATAACTTGGCCACCTTCTACATTTCTTTGTTTCCTCAGAGCTTAACAAAGTGCCTGGCACATAGTAAGTGATTAATAAATGCCTGCTGACTAACTGGATTATAATCCACTTTTAGGATGATAACTAACATTTTTAGCATTAGTCATTATCATTATCAAAAGTCATCAACATTCTGGATTTGTAGTTGTTTTTTTTTCTCAAGTTCTGTGGTGTTAAAAATACAGCAAGGTCTCTGTTCAGGGAATTTACAAAGCAAATGTAAGGAGAGAAAAATCTGAAAATGTTAGCTTGTTGGAACAGAAATATAGTATAGTGGAAAGATTCCTCGACTAGCATTTAGAAAACAGCTGGGGCTTAGATTTTGACTCTAACACTCACTAACTGGGTGATCGTGGGCAAGTAGCTCAACCTTTCTTGGCTTCAGTTTCTTCATTTTTAAAACAGAGAGGAAAATAAGAATTCCCATTTCAGTGTTCTGAGAACCAGCCTGACTTTTAAACTTGTACGTACTATAATTATCATTTACATGTTCCACTAATATGTAAGAACCAGTTTGCTGTGATGATACATCACATTGCAAAGGTGACACAAGTTTGGCCAGGTTCTACCAAACTGGAAACTCTAAGAAAGTACCAGATATGGACACTCTGTGGGTGGAGCTTTAGCTTCCTTCCTAGCTCTGACAGTCTGTTCTAAGGCCCCTCCCAGCTCTGACCTTCTATGTTTCAAGGCCCTTCCCAGTTCTGATATCCAGTGTTCTAAGGCCCCTCCCAGTTCTGAAATTCTGGGTTCTAAGACCCCTCCCAGTTCTGACACTCTGGGTTCTAAGGTTATCTCAGCTCCGACATTGTGTTCTAAGGGCCTCCTAGCTCTGACGCTAGTGACGTCAGTCGCTTCACCGCAGGTATAAACGACTGCTCAGTAACGGCTTTTTACAAGAATGAATGAAATGAATGAATGAACCTGTCGGCGCCAGAAGCCGAGGGCACTTCCCAGGCCACAAGAAGGCCTCCAGTGCCTGACTTCAGTGAGCCGCCCGCCGCCGCTGGGCTCCCTGCAGGCCGGGCTCCAAGGTCAGGCCAGGCAGGCTCACCGTCTGTCACCTTGACGACAAACTGAGAGGACATCCGGAAAAGGGCGGAGCCAGGCAGGTCAATCTCGCGATAGTTGTTCCGCCGGCCTGCTCGTTCGGAGCTCCGAGGTGGAGGTGGCGGACATCTCGCGAGACTTTGCCGGTGTCAGGGCGCCCGGGCCGGCTGTGAGGAGGCTGAGGCTGGACTTGAAACTGGAGCTGGAGGGGCCGCGGCTGCTGCGAGGGAACATGTCCGACACAGACCTCGGCAGGAAGTGGGACCGGTGCTTGGCCGACACTGTCGTGAAGCTGGGTAAGGGCCCAGGGCCGAGGGAAGGCGGCGAGGGCGGGTCCGGGCCCAGCCTGCTGAGGCGGGGGCGGGGGGGGGAGCGCGGCCCGTGGGCGGGACTGCAGGCCCCGGCTCGAGGCCTGCATGGGGCAGCACCTGGCCTCCTGGGGCTGCGGAACGGGAAGGGGCCCTGGGACGGTCATTGCCCTGAAAAAGATCTCCAAGCGCCCTCCCAGCTCTGACACTCTGTGTTCTGAGGACTGTTCCAACTGTAACCTTCTCTGGGGCCCCCCGAGAAAGGGACTCAGTCACTAAATAATTATTTAGCACCTGGTGGGAGCCAAACTCTTTTCCAAGTGATGGGGACACAGACAGAAGTGTCCCAGGCACTGTCTGTAAGGAAATTGGGTTTAATGGAGGGGGCCATATGGACGTCCCTAAGTATGTACAGAAGTGAATACAGGGTGATTTGGGGGGCAGAGAAGGCACTGGTGCCTGGGAGGGACCAGGAAAGGCTTCATGAGGGAGGTGGTGCTGAGGGATTCAGAGGGATGCTGAGGAATGAGTGCAGTTATCTCATAATTGTTGAATCTAATGACCTTTTCTCAGTCCTCTCTCTTGGTCTATGTGTAACCTTTGGTACTGCTGACCCCCTTTTCCTCCTGGATACTCTTTCTTCCCTGGATTTCTTGTGACACTATTCTTTCCTAGGTCTCTGTGTTGTTGCACTCACTTCTTTGCCTGGAATGCACTGTCTCCTCAGCTCTGCCTCTAAGAATCTTTCGTTTTCTTCAAAGCTTAATTCAGATGCCTCCTATATGAGGCCTTTTTTGATTTTCCTCACTGTCTATTCCCTTTCCTTACATCTGTATGTTTTCTATACTTGTTCATGGACTTACTTTACTGCCTTCCTCTGTAGTTTGTAAATTTCTGGAGAGGTTTTTTTTTTTAATTTTCTTTGACTCTCCAACACTTAGCACAGTATGTGGTATGTAGTAAGTGCTTAATAAATGCTTGTTGGTTGATTGGCTGATTCCAGATGTGAAAAGGCACGAAGATGGGAGATGGAACATTTTGTGTGAGGAACAGCAAATAACCCAGTATGGCTTGACCATGGTATGTGGAGTTAAAGAATAAACGTTTAGGAAGAATGAAAAGATTGGATGATATTGGGTTGTGAAGAGAGCTTTAAATGCTAAAATGTGATGCTTATGTTTTACCTTAGAGGTAATAAGGAGTTTATTGTTTGGAAAGGGGGAAATGGTCAAACCTGCATTTTAGGAAAATCATCGTGGCAGGTGCATGGAGGATAGGTGGGAGTGGGGAAGAGAATTGAGACAGAACACAAATGGGAGGCTATTGCAAGTCTTTTAACTAGGGTGCAGGCTGTGTGCAGGGAGAGAAGGAGATATATTTTAGAGCTGTAGAGAGGAACAAGAAGATTTGGCCCCTGATATGTGGGGAGAGTGATGGTGAAGACTGGAGCCATGCCACTGAGGTTGTGAGCTTGCTTGACTGGAAGGAGGGTGGGCCCCTCTGTAGTAACTGGGAAGTTTGGAAGAAGAGTGTGTTTATGGGAAAGATAGTAAGTTCTGTTTGATATGCCTACCAGACTTTTAGTTTGAAATGTCTACTAGGCAGTTGGTGATGTGGGATTATTGGTCAGGAGACACTAGGGCTGTGTATATAGATCTGGGAATCATCTACATCGAGATGATAATGGACCCTGCAAAGCAGATGAAGTCACCAATCGACAGAATGTAGAGAGGACAGAGAACAGGGTCCAGGACAGAAACTTAGTGTGCCTTTGAAGTGTTTAAAGGAGACTGAGGTGTGGTGGGCAGACAGGGAACAGGGGAACCCGCAGAGAGCAAGGTCATGAAAACCCTCAGATGAGAAAGTATCTGGGAGGAGGTGGTCAGCAGTCATGTTCCACAGAGGTCAAGGATGATTGAGGTGATTGAAGCTGTTAGGTTTGGCAACTTTAGAGAGAGCAATTTCAGTTGAGAAGCTGCATATCAAAGAACATAGAGAAGAAGCACATTGTAGTGGGAAAGTCAGTGGATTTTAGGTAGCTGGGCTTGGGTCTGAATTCTAGTGATGGTGTACTATATAGCTATGGTACAGCTATAGCTGTACTCATTTGCTTAACCTGTATCACCCTGGGCATATTTCCTCTCACAGGATAAAAAGAGAAGGTTAAATTGGATGATCTTGTCTGGATTCATTTTTATGATCAGTCAGTCAATAAACATTTGTTAAGTAGCTACCACATGCCAGGCACTAGGTATACAAAGAAAGGCCAAAGACAGCCCTTGCCTTCAAGGAGCTCATAGTCTAATGAGGGAGACAACATTTCCAACAACTATGCATGAATGAGCTATGACAAGATAAATAGGAAATAATCAAAAGAGGGAAGGCACATTAAGAAGGATTGGGAAAAGCTTCTCATAATTTTAGCTGGGATCTGAAGGAAGCCAGAGAAAGCCAGGTGGCAGAGATGAAGAGGAAGAGCCTTTTAGGCGTGAAGGATGGCTATAGTTGGAGTTGGAGTGTTTTGTCTGAGAAACAGCAAGGAAGTCAGTGTCCCTAAATTGAAGAGAAGGTGTATGTGTGTGTGTGGGGGGCTAGGATGTAAGGTGTAAGAAGACCAGAAAGTTGGGGGAGAGGGCCAGGCTATAAATGGCTTTGAATGCCAGACAGGGCAATATGAAAATATTGGTGGTGATATTTTATATCTGATGGTAATAGGGAGCCACTGGGAGTTTGTTGAGTAGAGAAGTGACATGATCGGATTTACTTTTTATGAAAATCACTTTGGTGACTGATTAGAGGATTATCTGGAGTGGGGAGAGACGTGTAGCAGGAAGCTATTACAACAGTCCAGGCATGAAGTGATGGGGGTCTGCACCACAGTGGTGCCAGTGTAAGAGGAGAGAAGGGGACAGATTTGGAGAGCTGGTGCAAAGGTAAAATCGACAGGCGTTTGTAGTCCAGGGTGACACCCAAGATGAGACAAAGTAGTCTGTGCCAAAAATGGGACTTGTACAGAAGGCTTCCTATTCTTTCTCTGTGAATAATTTAGAGGTTTAAAATGACAGCAGAGTGTAGCGGGAAAAGTACTAGAATTTTATCAACCCATCAAGCCTCTATTAAGTACCTGCTGTGTGCACAGCATCGGTGGGATATAAATATAAATACAAAAGCAAAACAGTTGTGCCTTCAAGTTTATATTTTCCTCAGGAAGAAGGAGTAAGAAAAAAAAACATGCTCATAGATAAGTGCCCCTCAGCTTGGCACTTTGTGGCCTCCCATCCCCCCCCAAGAAAAAAAAACCCTCAAAAAAATGAACAAACCCTGCAAGTGAAAGCAGAAGAATGGATGCCCCACTGTCCCAGGATTGGGGGCTTACCTTGAGACCTCTGGTGCAGAGAGAGGAGACCTTTGCTCCACTCTGCCAGCCTACCCCATGTCCAACCCCTGCTGTCTTCTGTCTGTCTTACTGCTCTCGAGTACCATGTGTCTGTCTCTGATGCCCCCCTCCCCTCAAGTGCCTATCATCTCCTGTCTGTATCCAGTGCCATTGTATCTGCTCACTGAGTGTTCTTTCTCTTGGCTCCAGCCACAGCCCCCTCGTGTTCCTCTTCTTGCTCTCCTTTCTCTGTCTCTGGCCTCCTCATGTCCTTGAAATATGTGCTGGCCCCCTCCTTCTACAGGTGTGTGGCCCTTTTCCTGTCTTCCTCCCTCACTCCCCCGTGTCTGCAGGCTAATTTGCATTATGTAAAAATTGCTTTACATAATGGTCTACAGAATTTACATAAATCGAGAACTTCCTGCAATCCTATATATTTTACTTTATATGTATTTAAAAACAGTGTCCTGAGAAGAGGTTCACAGGCTTCACCAGATCCTGCGGTATTTTTTCCTTTGACTTGGAAGCTTTAGATTTTGATTTTGACATTCCTGGGACTTTTCCTCCCACCCCACTTCCCCCAACCCCTCTCATCCTGAGATAGCTGGTAGGTTCTGTCTATCTTTACTTTGACCTTTGGATCTAATAGATCTGGGCAGAAAAGTTGAAATTTTAATTTCATTTCTATTTCATTCTTGAAATGTGTACAGATTTTAAAAATATGTATGTAATGGTTTTCAGGGAGTGTCATCCTGGCCCAAAGGGGGGTCATAAGCCAGGTCATATCGCAGATCATTTTAGAAGGCGAGACAAAAAAGGTTCGGAATGCCTGCACCAGATAATCTCCAAGATTATAGAAGATGAGCTACTCTCTCCTGGTCTTCCTCGTAGCTGCTGACTAATTCCATCTCAGTCTCCTTTGCTTGATCTTTATCCAGGCCACACCAACTAATATTGGGTATCCCACAGGGCTCTGCCCTGGGCCACCTTCTCTTCTATGCTATTTCACTTGGTGGCCTCATCATCTTCTATAGTTTCAACCATCATATTATGCTGATGATTCTCTTATATATATATCTAGCCCTAACCTCCCGTTTGACCTCCAGTCTTGCATGTCCAACTGTCTATTAGACCTTCATCTAGATGTTCTACAGATATCTTAAATTCAACAGTTTAGTCCAAAACTGAACTCATTATCTTTTCCCCAAAACCTTCCCTCTTCCAGACTTGCTTGTTTTCTAATCCTAATTCTTTATTACTATATAGGACTCCATCAGCCTCCTAGGCTATGTAGGTAAGCCATTTAAGCTCGCAGTGCCCCAGAAAGCTCAGTCTTGGAGGATTTAAGGTGCAGATGGTTTGCTGATTCCCTAGCCTGTGGAAGGAGTTTCCACATGAGAAGTGCTTCCAAATGACAAACAGATCTGGGCTCCCCTCCTCCCTTGTAAAAAAAAATATATATGTGTGTGTGTGTGTGTGTGTGTGTGTGTGTGTGTGTGTGTGTGTGTGTGTGTGTGTGTATATATATATATGCAAATGAGAAAATGCCTGAAACAGAATCATATTCAGGTGTGAGATGAATTTGAAGGAACTTGGTTTAAAAGCCAGTGGT